CCAACGAATCTCACAATCACACACATTAATACCACTATATATTTTTAATTTTCTTTTTTTAAGATTTTATATATTTGAGGGAGAGAGAGAGAGAGAGAGAGAGCATGAGTAGTGGAGAGGGGCAGAGGGAGAGGGAGAAGCAGACTCCCCGCTGAGCAGGGAGCCTGACTCGGGGCTGGATCCCAGGACCCTGAGAACATGACATGAGCCAGGACTGATGCTTAACTGACTGAGATACCCAGGTGCCCCAGATTTTTAATTTTCACCTTCAGCTGCTCCTCAGCATTGTTTACCTATCTCCAGCAGTTTCTGCAAATTTCCCACAGATACTATTTGAAAACTTCAAAATCCTAAAGCCCCTTGTCATACTTTCCACAGCAGACCCCCTGCCTCTGATAGCAGATGATTTCACCTATTCTTACCTCTGTCCCTTCCCTCTGCCTACACTCGAGATCCATCCCAGTCCGTCATTCCTCAGGGAACTCACAATATCTTTTCATTATTTCTATCCATCTGGCTGCCATCAATAACTGGCATCACCATTTTCACTTCTCATTCTCACACCCTTTACAGTCCATCAGGTCTCCTTTATTCTCTCAAGTTCATGCACTTCTCTTTCTTCATGTCCAGACCTACCTTACTTGTTATCAACACTGCCGGGGTTACCTTAGAAGTCTCTGAACTGATTCCTCTGCTGCTGTTCTTGCTTTGCCTGCTCCCTGTCCCTCTCCTCAGTCCATCCTAAACTGTTACTTAGGTGACTCTTTTCCAAATGTACATATGATCTTTTCATATCTAAAGTCCTTCAGTGTCTCTCTGAAGACTCATCCATCTGTAGCCTAATACTGAACCACTTACTCAAGCTGTGCCTCCTATTTGTGTTTCTGCAGTGCTGAATTACTAGTGTTTTTTGTATTCACTGTTGTTTCATTTCTGTATGCCTTTGGACATGTCCTTCTCCCTGCCAGGAATATCCCTAAGTTGGGATATAACTCCTTTTTATCCTTGAAAATTCTGCTCAGGCGTTAACCTCCTTTAGGAACCCTTCCATGATCCCTCTTCTTTCTGTCACCCCCAATAGAATTACTTCTTTCCTTGTACTACTTCTGTTCCAAGTATATACTTCTAACTACTACCCTTATTTTATTAGTTTATAGGTATTTTAAAAAAAGCACTATTTCAGAGACACAGCATGAGCAGGAGGAGGGGCAGAGGGAGAGAGAGAGAATCACAAGCAGGCTCCCCACAGAGCCCAGAGCCCAGACCAGGGGCTTGATCTCACCACCCTGAGATCATGACCTGAGCTGGACACTTAACCGACTGAGCCACCCAGCACCCCTAGTTTATCGGTACTCTCAAGACTATCATTCTTTTCTTGCTGATTTTTCCTCATACTGTCTTATTTCAGTTTGTCTTTGTATCCTCAGTGCCTGGCACCTAAGAGGCATAGGTCTTCAAAACTTTTTTTCTGAACTGAGCTGAATAGAACCAAGTCTCTATTACGGTTTTCTAATGAATTGCTCTAATGATATATGAGTGTGTGCGTCTGTGTGTATGTATCCTCCATAAAATGCTTTGTAAATGTTTGTGGAATAAGTGAATGAGAGGCAGACTACTGGCAGGAGGCTAGTAAGGAGATCATTTGGTAAACACTAGATAATGCTGTCTCTTCAGCTTTTCCCAACTCCCCGGGCTTTCAGTAGCACCACCCAGGCACACACACGCCATGGGAGTGCCTTCATCAGAACAATTAGCTTAATGAATTAGAATTGTCTGTTTGTGAATCTGCACCCTCACATGAGAGCAGGTAATCAGTTTGTGTGTGTTACGTGTGCTCATATAGGGTTTTATTAACTAAAAGGAAGGTACTGTGAAGGTCAAGTCAGATAAGATATGAAAATATAATGGTAACAAAAACCTCTACTTACAATTAATAAAAGACTCATTTAACTGTGAATTATCCTTCTAGTTGGGATTCCTATTTCCACTCTTGCTTTTCCTCAATCCATTCTCCAAATCTTTTTTAAACCAAAGTAAATATTTACTTAGAAGCAATATAATGGCATCCAGTTACAAATTTTAAAAAGCTGACGAGTACCAGCTATTAAAAAAATCCATAAAAGTATTTTAATTAAATACCTGAACCATCCCTATTTTTCCCTGTATTTTTACTTTTATGCATTTTGATTGCCTCTTCATTTGACAATTTTGTAATGCATTTCCTTTGTGAGAGTAAATAGTTTGGTATTTTCTCCAGCATAGTTAATAAAAATTTTTTATTATTGAAAATTTAGAAAAGTTAATTTCAATAAAAACTCTAGTCATGTCAGTTTATGGTATTGCTAAGTTTGGGGAAACATGTTGAGTTTCTTATGTGAACTCAATGATTTTAGAGCATTTTAAGTTTTTCTTGATCAGTGTGATTAACCTTAAATATTCTTGAAAGTACTTGCTAACTTGTCAAGCTGTTGTTGAAGTGTATTATGAGATCTCGATTATCCTTGTAGATGCCACTATCTCTTGCCAAGGCAACAAGAAATTTTCCAAAGTTTCAATGTATTTATAGGATTCATTCTTCTTCAATTGATTACTAAAAAATTTTGGACTCTATAACTTCTATTTAAAATTTACTTCCTCTCAATGGATTACTGATTTTGGTTTGGTCTAAAATTTTTTTTCTTCAAATTAAGAATTTTTTGTCACAATAATTTCTGTTCATTTCATATAGTAATATATACAAAATAATTTTATTGTATAATGTATATATAATTGTATATGTTATATTGTTAAATATTTTCTTGAAGAAGAAAACTTCTATTTTGACAAGATTGATGAGAACTGACAAGTGTAGGTTTTCTACATCTGGGGATTGGAAGGATTTATTGACTCCATTGTCCACAGACTTCTGGTGCTTCATGCCATAGGACATGCCAGATGAGTTGTCTCAGTGGGGGTAGGAGTGTTCCTGGAAGCCATTTCTACATCTAAATAGCAATAACTTAACTATGTATGAAAGTAATTCTGAAACCACACCTTTTAAAACGGTAAATCCTATCATGTTACTGCCCCACTGTCCCATTGGTCTTATAGTAAAATTCAACCTCCCTACTGGAGCCTACAAAACCTTGTATGATTTTGGCTTTTCCCATCTCTCCATACTCATCTTTAATACTCTTTCTCTTGCCTAGCCATACTGATCTCACATCAGTTTCTGAATTTTGCCAAACTTTGTTTTTCTTGCTCCAGGGCATTAAGATCTCTTCTGCTTACCTGGACACTTTTTTCCCTATTTTTCATGAGCTTCAAGGTGTACTTAGATGATCCCTTTTCAGAGAGGCGTTCCTTCTTTAGTTACCCCATTCTAGACAAGCTTTCTTTGCCTTTAAACAGCATCCTTTGGAGGTTACCTGTCTTGAGTTCTCTAAATACTTCTTTCCAGAATGCATACATTTTCTCCATCAGCATCCCTTTCCTAATATTGTATTTTGTGCATTATATGCCTATGACATATGGTGTGTATGTGTGTAGGCCTATATATGTATGGGTATATATTTTCTGAATTTATAAAATAGCTGATACAGGTCCCACTCTGAATTCATCATTTCCCTCCCCAAATCTGTTCTGCCTTTTGCATTCCCTACCTTATGTTACTACCACCTATTCACTTGTTTGCCCAAGTCAGAAACTTAAGAGTCACCTAGATTCTTCTCAGTCACCCCTTCCAGCCAGTCTGTCACTAAACTCTGTTGATTTCACTTCAGCAACATCTCTCAGATCTTCACTCCTTGTCTGACATAATTTCTTCCTGGAGTTACAGCAAATGCCGCCAAGGAAGCCGTCTTGTAGCCTGTTTCATATTGCTCTACCTCCCTGCCCTCCATACTGCTGTGAGAATGATCTTTCAAATATTCAAAAAGACAAACTATGAGAAATTTAAGACCTAACTCATGTGCACTTCTCCTGTTTCATTTCCCCACTAACGTTTCCCTAACTCCAGCTACTCCATACTAGACAAGTTATCTTTTCCTTTTGCACTTCCTTTCCTCCCTTTTCCACACCCCACCCTCCGCCAAATGCAACACACCAGCCGGGCACTGCTCTGAAAACGACTCGGACAGCCCAGGCCCAAGGGTCGGGTTAGGCATCCCTTGGACTGTGCTCCCAACCTGAATCTGTTCCTCCATCACAGTCCGGAGCACGGCGCACAGAACCGTCAGCTAGCCCAGGCGCCCAGCGGGTTGAGTCCTGTGATGGCAGGACTCTGCTGTTCTCCCCGGTAGCGCCCCCATGTCCCCGCAGCCTACTGCTGGCACCCACACGGGACACTCCAAGAACAGAAAAAGCGTGAATGGAAGAAAAAAGGTGAAGACTGAACATAAAGGATTCGGATGGTGTTGCTTCAACTAGTCTTGGTCTTTGGGGACAGCAGTCTGAGATAAAGTATTCCTGCCTGGTAACCGTTTCTGACAGCTGGAATCCTAGCACCGACCGGGGCTCCTCGGCGGCGGGAAAAGCCGCCCGCGCCGTCGGGGCCGGCCGGCAGCTCTGACACGGGAGGCAGTCAGTCGTCAGCACACCGGCAGCCTGGCTCACAGAGGCGGCCTCGCTCACAGTCGCTGCCTGGAGCCCGCCGCTCGCCCTCCCCCTCTCGGGCAAGCAGGGCCGCCGACTGGGGTCCCGAAGGCTGTTCATGCGGGCGCGCCCAGTACGGCGCGAGCCTGCCAGCACCTCGGAGAGGCCACCCCCGGTCTCCTCCGCACGCCGCGCGGGGGCCAGAAAACCCGCGCCGGTCCCGCGCGCCCACTACGCCCTGGGAAGCGCGCGCGCGACCGGCTTAACGGTTCTGGCCCCGCGGGCTTGAGGCCGCGCTCGAAGCCAGTCACCCGAGGCCCCGCCCCGCCCCGCGCCCGCCTCGCGCCCCTGGTAGCCGCCGTCGGCCCCGCCCTCGCCCCGCCCCACCCCGCCCCCGCCCCGTCCCCCCCGCCGCCCCCGGCCTCGAGCGGACGCGCGGCGGGAGCCGTTCCCCGACGGGCAGCGGGGCGCTGGGTCGCCGCGTTTGGGCTGAGCGCGGCGACGCTGCTGCCCCGAAATCCTCCCCGATCTTGAGGCGGTAGGTGGCTGAGGAGGATGAGCCGAACTGGGGGGAGGGGCAGAAGTCGGGCCCGGGTGTGAGGAGGCGGTGGGCGCCGTCTCTGAGGTCGGACACCGGGAGAGTTGTGAGGGAGGGGGGCTCTGGCGTCGGACGGGACAAATCAGGCAGGGGCCCCATAGGGTCTCCATGGTGGGTTGTAGAGTGTGAGGGAGCGAGCACGTCGAGAGGATAGGGTAGTGACTGGTGTCACTACCCCGGCGAGGGGCAAGTGGCTGAGGGAGAGTTACACTGCTGAGGGCATATTAAAACAAAAAACAGAAACGCCAGATAAAAAGTAAGTACATAGCGCCCTCTGTCCCAGGACCTGGTCCTTTGTGGTGGCATGGTTTGAAGACGTTTTGTCCCCCATACCCTGGCACCGTCACTACTAATTTTGGGCAATTTTTTTTTCTTTGACATTATTGTAGTTGTTTTTATTAATAAACAGCAAATTAATAATTGGATGAAATTATATTCAACAGAAAAGAAAACCCAGCAGGAAAAAAAAGTGCCAAGAAACCATATATGGTTAATTCACAGAAGAAAATCAAATGGTTCATGAAAGTATATGAAGATATACCACATAATTTATATGTAAAGATATGCCATTAAAAAAACTGAGATGTAATTGACATATAACAGTTTCAGGTTTACAATATAATTATTCAATATTTGTGTCAAAAGGTTTTAATTGCTGATAATTTAGGCAAAGTTACATATCCACAGGCACCCATTATCTAGACAGTTTTATCCAACTTAAGTGTTAAATTTTGTTTCTACTGAAAGATACATCACGGAGAAAAACAGTTTTTTTTTTTGATCCGTTGTAAAGAGAAGGCATGAAATGGAAAATATGGAACACTCCTCTTACAACTTTTTGATAGTTTAAATTTTTCCTGAATGTGGCAGCCTGATTTGTGGAATATAAAATATCTTTTATCACCTAAGTCATAATTGGTTTATCTCTTACTCACCTGTATTTCCTTTATATTACTTTTCATCTATCAGTTTATCAGTTTGTGCTGTTTACTTGCGAGCAGCATGTGGTTTCAAGGAATCCTAACTTTGTATAATATTTTGAAGTTGAAAATTGAGATTAAATCCTATCTGATTATTATATGGGAAATATATATGGGGTAGATGAAAACATGGTCTTTTCACTTCTCAGATTATTTAATTTTATATGATCTTATTTCTTTTTATTTTAATTCCAGTGTAGTTAACACAGTGTTATATTAGTTTCAGGTGTGTAATATAGTGAGTCAGCAATTCCATATAGTACTCGTTGCTCATCAAGATAAGTGTGCTCTTAATCCCCTTCACCTATTTCTCTCATCCCCTTCACTCACCTCTCTTCTGGTACCCATCTGTTTGTTCTCTATAGTTAAGAGTCTTTTTTTTCCCCCTTTGTTCCTTTGTTTCTTAAATTCCACACAGTGAAATTTGTCTTTCTCTGACTGGCTTATTTGGCTTTAGCATTATACTCTAGATCCATCCATGTTCCAAGTGGCAGGATTTCATTCTTTTTTATGGCTTAATATTCCAATGTACCTTTGTGTGTATACATATAGATATATGTGTATATATCCATTCATCTATATGATCCTTTTTTGTGTGTTCTAATAAAACTATTTTTTTGTCCTTTCATACTTTTTTTAAACATTTATTTGAGAGAGAACGAGCATGCGTGCCTGTGTGTGTGGTGGGGAGGGGCAGAGAGAGAGGGAGAAAATTTCCAGCAGACTCCCCACTGTGTGCAGAGCCTGTCGCAGGGCTGATCCCAGGACCCTGAGATCCTGACCTGAGCCGAAATCAAGAGTCAGACGCTTAACCAGCTGAGCCACCCAGTTGCCCCTGATCTTTTTTTTTTTTTTAGGATTTTATTTATTTACTTGAGAGAGAGAATGAGAGAGAGAGAGCATGAGGGGGGGAGGGTCAGAGGGAGAAGCAGACTCCCCGCTGAGCAGGGAGTCCGATGTGGGACTCGATTCCGGGACTCCAGGATCATGACCTGAGCCGAAGGCAGTCGCTTAACCAACTGAGCCACGCAGGCGCCCCAGATGCCCCTGATCTTATTTATTTTTTTTTCAAAGATTTTGTTTATTTATTTGACAGAGAGAGAGAGAGAGCACAAGTAGGCAGAGAGGCAGGCAGAGGGAGAGGGAGAAGCGGATTCTCCACTGAGCAGGGAGCCCGATGCGGGGCTCGATCCCAGGACCCTGGGATCATGACCTGAGCCGAAGGCAGCCGCTTAGCCGACTGAGCCACCCAGGCGCCCCCCTGATCTTATTTTTTAATTGCAGCAAAACCATCAGCACTTTCTAAAGAAATGTAGAATTTAAGTTGGAAATTTTAAGTATAGTATTTGGCTTCTAAATACAGTACATGGTATGTATGTTTCTTATGTTGTGACCCATGATAACTAAGGCACTGTACCGTGTCTACAGAATGAGGAAAGCATAGTAATCTTATAATTTATTTAGTATTCTAGAAAAGTGATAAGTTGAGGAAATGGAAATTATTAGTAACTACCAATTTATTCAGCAAGTCTTTATATATAAATGTCCCTTCTCATAATTTATTAAAAAAAATCCAGTAAGCAATGTCCACATGGAATACCAGATGTCTCTTAGCAAACATGCAAGTTTAGAGACAAGGGCATGAACTTTATAGTTAAATCCTCATTTTTACCAAATATATACTATGTGAACTTGAGAATCTCATTTTTCTGAGTATTAGGTTTCACATCTATAAGGTTACTAATAATGGTTTTCTTCTATGCTAAATAAAGAATTTAGCATGTAATAGGGCCTCAAAAATGGAGTTTGAATTAAAAAAGAGTAGTATATGTTGCATAGTAAGATTATGTCCCAATTGGTCAGTATCTGTGCTTATTATCCCATTGTACTGTATTTTAGAAAATAGGCTAATTTATAATTTCAGAATTGGTTGGTCTTTAGGATTCATATTTAGTTTGATTTTTTTTAAACAGAAAAGGAACCTAAGATATAGTTAAGTATTGCTAGATGTAGAATAGCAACTAAAGCTTCCTGACATGTGGACCAATATTCTATTCATAGCAGTTGGCCTTTTAAGATGATTTTTTAAATACGTGTAAACTTGGAAAAAAACTTTATTCAGTAGCTGTTTCTCAGCATGTGTTAATAGAATGAAATTTTTGAGACATTGGATCAAAATGTTCTTTAAAAAATATTTATGCTACAAGGCTGTATATTCATAGTTTAAAAGAAAACTCCATGATTGGCCCACTACTTGTTATCCATTGTCGTTAGTAGGATTCTTTTTCTTTTGCAAGTGTTGTCCTTTGTAACAGCTGATACCATAAATGCTTACCCTAGGTAGTACTAGTAGCTTCAAAGGAAAATTTGGAGCTCTACATTGGGTGAGTGAGGCAGGTTTTAGAGTTTAAGATTAAAGTTATTTTATATAATGATTTTGTTAGTTCAGTTAAGTCTTTATTATTTTTACCAAAACTGAGAATTAGGCTTTGGTTTGTGGAGTTCTGTCCTTCATAGATTATGATCCTTTGGATCAGTTTTACAGTGATAATTACTATAAATACTTGCCTTTTCCGTTAAAACACTAACGTTAACATGATGTTAACAATAACATAACATGATGCTTTTGTATACTGTGCATCCCAAACTTATTCCCTATAATATCAGTATCTCTGTGCAGGTATAGTTTACTTAAAAAATATTAAATAGAATACTATCTGGCATTATCTTTTCTCATTTCCTTAACTGATGTGAATTTATATATCTGGAGCCCTTGCTTAGTTTTCCTACTATAAATTGAAAGGGTGGGTGATATTAAAAGATCTTTTATTTTTTGTTTATGTACTTGTGTTGCAAAACCATATAATAGTTCTGTAACTCCCCAACTCTTGAAAATCCCTAGTTTAAATACTGTGGATTTGCACTGCTCAGCAACTGGAAAGGACTTTACAACCTATCAACTCAATTTCAGCTGAGCAATGAAAAACAAGAAAGTGTGTGCCAAAGTACTCTATTGTAGTCTGATTCATTAGTTTCATAGGAGAAACAGGATGGAAAGTTACTACATACTAGTATTAGGGTTCTAATTATGTCTAGGATAAACATTAAATAACACAATATTAGATTGCTTTTTGGTCCTTATTTAAAATTTTTCCTTCTGCATAGAAAATATTCAATATTTGAAGTATTTTTTTTTGCTACCTATGCTTATCACTTTTTTGTTTCTTATTATATCAAAGTTGTATTGCCAACAAGTACAGACCGCATTAGTTTTTTTTAGAAGGTTGTTAATAGCCATGTTGAAATACCAGTTAAGAGACACATTACAAAAGTTCGATAGGTATTAATTAACTAATTAATTAACTGGCTGGCTTATCTCCAAACTTTAAGAAAAAGTAACTATTTTGTGCTTAGTTATCAGTGCTAACTTTGAGAGGTTGTTTATAAATTTATGATTTTAACATTTGAATTATGTCCAGAGGCATTTTTTAAATCGATGAAAGCATGTCTTTGGAGCTAAAAGCGTTATTAACCCTATTCTTTACTTTGGGAAACAGTCATTTAGGGTAATGATCTGCTTAAAATCATATGGTTACAACTGCTGGATGAGCAGGTACAAAGTCAGAATTTTACTTTAGGCTTTGTTTTAATAGGCACTATAATTTGGAAATCTGTGTCCTATTCAGGCATCAGAAGGCTTTAGTTATATTTAAGAGGTATTTAAATTTATAGATTTATTTAGTAAAACTATGTTGTAGGTACTAGGACACAAAGATAAGTAAGATCTAGTTTTTTTAGCCTCAATTAACCAAGTCTAATCAAATAAGCATGTAATGGATTTACTCTGATACATCTTAGAATAATTAATAAAATACAGTAGGGGCTAGTGGAAGAAGAAAGAAAAATAAGTTACTATTATTATTTTACTGTCAACTATGTGTTAGGAACTAGAAAGCTTCAGGTGAACTACTTTATTTTCCATTACTGTTGGACATGAGGATCTTTTTTTCCAAGGAAGTAACAGGAACTTGACCTTGGTCTTGAAAGATGAATAGCGTTTTGGGAGAAGAGCAGCAGGGAGAGTGAAAGAACTCCCGAACGTATAAATATATGGTGAAACAAAATAATATTTATGAATTCAACAATCTGTTAAACACCCACAGTGTTCTAGGCACTGTGCTAGACACGGGAAATATACCTGTGTGAGAGAACTATAATTTAATGGTCAGATGATAGGTAATTGCAACTAGTGCAGTAAGTACCATATTGGAAGAGGATAGACACAGGGGTGTTTTGTGAGCACATAAGGGTACTTAACGAGAACCTGTTCAGTTCTGCCCGGGTGTGGGGTAGGAAAAAGGTTGGGCAAGATTCTTGATTCTTACTGGCCAGAAGCATGGACATGGGCATCCCATCACTTCCTTGATTCAGGACCTTGGGCAAGTTACCTGATTTCTCCAAGCCTTATCTGTAAAATTAGGATTATAAAAAAATAATAAAGCTAACATTATTAAGCTCTTACTATGTACCAGGCATATACATATATCTTATTTAGTCTTCACATCAAACCTAGGATACAGAGGCTGTTGTTTTCCATAGTTATATAACTAGGTGCTGGAACCATAATATGAACCCATGTAGACCAACCTGAGACCCGACCTCTAACTTTTAATTGTGCCTAATTGATAGAGTTATTCTGAATTTTAAATAATGTAACTTAGGTAAATGGTTTACTCTGCATGACACTTGGATGTTGGCTCCTATTTCTATTCTGAATAATCCAGGAGGATTATTCCTTCAGGAGAAATTGAAGTTTTTAGAGCAGGTGTGTGTGTAAAGCGATCATAGTTTGGAGAGAAAGAGGTTATATTCACCCATTTGTTCAGCAAATGCTTGTGTTATACCTACTTTGGATCCAGTCCAGGTACTGTGTTAGTTGCCAGGGAAAGTGTGAATGAAAATATTGTTCCTCACTTAAAGAATTTGCTCTCCTCACTTTTGTAAGTATAAAAGACAAATCAGTCATTATAGTATAGTACGATGTTCCCTAATGCCGTGATGTAGGCATATTCACTGTGTCCCATGAACATAAGGAGAGAAGGGAGTATTTAAATCAGACTGAGTGATCAGGGAGATGAATTCAGTGCTACTGTGGAACTAAAAGAGTAGTGGTGGGAAAGAAGAAAATAAATTTGAGAAGTACTTTGGAAGTAGAATGGACAGGAATTAGAGACTAATTATGGTATGGAGGCTCTTATTTAGATCTTATTTAACCAAAGGTGATCTGGGGCAGTTGAAGACTTTAAGGAATACCAGAGGAGGAACATCTTTGGAGTCAAAGTAATGAATTTGATTTTGGATATCTTGAATTTGAGGTGTCTGATAAAATGTAAATAGAAATATCTTAAAAAATAGAATTGAATTTAAAAGAGAGGTAGATGCTAAATGTGTAAATTAGGGTATATTTATCATGTAGATAGGTAGTTGAAATCATCAGAATAGTTGAGGTCAGGGAAGAGGATCAAAGCCAAATTTGGAAGAATTCCTAAATTTAATTGGAGAAAAGAATAAGCCAAGGAAGTTAGAAGAGGTAGTCAAAGAAATAGGAAACAAACTAAAAGAAAAGTCAGGGAAGTTATGGGAGGAAAATGTTTCAAAAAAGGGAATGTTCCACTGTGACGGATGGTATAAAGGGGTCTAAGGTTTCCACCTTAACTTATAAAAATAGATTATCTTCAAATGAATTTTGTGTGTGTGTGTGTATATATGTATGTATATAAAAGCATCTTAATCATCTTGTTGAAAAGATAAGATACATTTTTCCTTCCTAAAGTATGGAACCTCAAGGTCTTTGTGATAATGGAAACCAAAAAATTGATTGGTAAACCGCTTCAACCAGCAAGACCTGTTCGCCATCTGACTTCTCCCCCTGGTGAGTAATCTAGGGTATATATCTTTAAATATTAATTGTTTAATAGCTAAGTAGTATGTGAAAGGCTAAATAATATATGAAGTAATTGTTTATGGTGGGTTAAGGAATAATGAAAACTAATCTTGTTTGTTTGAAGAATTTAAAAATCGAAGAAAAAGACTCTTAATAGTCTGTGAATCCATAGTGAACCAGACTAACAAAGGTAGGAAGAATGGCTCTTGCCTGAGAACAACTTTTTGTATTTTTTTTCATGTCTCATTTTCATGGTTAACTGGCTTCTGCTTAGAATGATACTCTCAATACAAATTGTGCCCTGTGATTATGATCACTGCAGAGCAATCATGCTGAAGAGAGAATTAGCCTTTTAAAAAAATTCCTAACAGCATATAAATGAATGAATAAATGAATGAATACAAACAAAACAACAGTTACAGATTAGGGCAGTGCTAGGACATACAGTCTCATTTTTCAGGAAATTTAAACAAAAATTTCTAAAATTAAAGATTTTTTCTTTTGCCTATAAAACTAGTATTTTGGACAAATTTTTGGAATACTTTTTCCTTAATTGGATTATTAACCTTTTATTTTTTTCATTGTTGCCAGAATGGCTTTTGTATTTTAACTTAGGTTTATATGTATATGTTATATATATCTCCTAAATATTAATGTATATATCTCCTAAATATTAATATATAAATATATGTCACCATCCTATTAAAATACTCTTTAGTCCATGTGTTCAACTAACTGATTAGAAAAGGGGAAAAAAATAGCTCTTTTTATTGGGTGCAGCGATGAAGCAGAAAAGATAGAAATGACACCAGTTCCTCAGTCTTCTATTTGTTCTCCCATCCTTGGTTCTTACAAGGAAGATTGTCTCTACTTTGGTCATGTTTCCTCTGAAGATGGCTGTGACTTAAGACAGACAAATGAAATTAGGGATCTTCCGGACCATAGCTTTAGCAGTGTTGATGCCATCTCCTTCTGGTATGCTAAAGAAGCAGTAGTTTTGGGTCAGGTCTCAGATTTTCTCCTAAAGGGAAGGGTATATAGCCATTGGCAGCAGCTCCTTTCTGTGACCAGCCTTTTTACAGCACCCCTCACTCCCTTATCTGTACAGATTCAGTTTTTCATTGATCCTTTCCTTCCAAGTCTGTTATAGGGGTTAAAGGTAGTGGGCCCATCTCTCATTTAATTATATCCTCTTAAGATCCAGAGATAAGTAGTTTTATTAGGTAGAAAAGCTTAGTAAATCAGAAATTAATTTTGGCCTTTTTCAATATACTTCTGTACTCCCTGGCTAGCTCACATCCCCAGAGAATTCTACTTATAGATAGAATTATTTACTTTTTTTTTTTTTTAAAGACTTATTTATTTATTTATTTGAGAGCAAGAGTTAGAGAAAGACCAAGCTTGAGCTGGGCTTGAGCAGGGTGGAGGGGCAGAGGGAGACAATCTCAAGTAGATTCTGCACTGATCGTGGAGACCAGTGCAGGGCTCGATCTCACGACCCATGAGATTGTCACCTGAGCCAAAACCAAGAGCTGGACACTGAACCAGCTGAGCCACCCAGGCCCCCCAGAATCATTTCCTTTTGTGAAGCTTTCCTCTATATCACAAAGCCCAGTCTGCTCTCCCCTAGTATCTTCTTTGTAGCCCTCATATAACCTGTTTTTATTATAGTAATTGTTTATGAGCTTGTCTTTTAAAATAGACCATGAACTCTTTTATCTCTGAACTCTTTTCACACTTACAACCTGTCCCCTAACACAGTGGCTTACATTTCATAGTGTTTAATAAATATTTGTTAAGTAAATGAATTATCAGAAAACAATTTAAAACAGTACCTAGAATATCCTGCATACTTAAGGTTTTTGGGTGGTTGTAGATCATTTATTGAAGTAATGGGTATTTAAAGTATTTTTCTTTTTTTTCCCTTCTAACAGGAGCAGTATTTCCTTTCAACTTTCAAAATGAATATTCATGCAACACTCAGTGCTTACAAAGTGGAGTTAGCAGAGTAAGTCCTAGAAATTATAATAAAATGAAGCATTGCAGACTGGAAAGTAACATTTGTTAGATGGTGCTGTGCCAGGTACCATGCTAGGTACTTTATATACTTTTTAAAAAGTTATATTTCAATAATATATTAAAGGAAATTATATCTGTTGCCCAGCATTTTCAAATCTAAACATTTTGCTATATTTGTTTTAGAAAATGTTAAAGAGGGGTACCTGGGTGGCTCAGTTGGTTAAGCATCCAACTCTTGGTTTTGGCTCAGGTTATGATCTCAGGGTTGTGAGATAAGATTCTCTCTCTTCCTTTCCCTCTGCCCCTCCCCCACCTAAAAATGTTAAAGAAGAAACCTAACACATATTTCAAAACCCCTACTTACCCCTCCACTAACCCATCTTCTCCTCACCCTCCTCTTCTCACCCGTATGTAGGTATATGAGAATAGTGTTCATTGTGCAGTGGAATTCTATTTCCCGCCATCCCCAAGTATTGCATTAAATGTGTGCAGTAAGGCTTGTCCCAGAGATGGGCCCAGAGAGGTGGTGGCTGGCCTGAGGGGCACGTAGCCACATGCCAAGGTTCTGATAGGAAGATGAGCTTGAGCCCCAGCCCTGCCATTTCCCAGCCCTGTGACCTTAACGTGAGTGATTTCTTTCACTTCTCAAAGCCTCAGTTTCCTTACCTGAAAATGGGGCTAATAGCTGTCTTTCTCACAGGTAAGTGTGAGGAGGAGGCAGCAGTGAGCTAATGCTTCCAAGGTCTTAGCACTGTGTCTGGCATGTAGTAAATGCTCGTTCCATACATGCAACAGTTTTCCTGGCTGTGCCTGTGGACTGTGCCCCTCCACCATCCCATTTTTTTCTCACCCTCCTCCAATTATTTTCAAATTGTTGTTGTTTCCATGAATGTATTAGTACTTTTGCTACAACAAATAGAATTGTTTCAACTGTTTTATAATTTTATATAAATAGTATTATACCCACATGTGTTTTTGCCATTCTTTCTGCATTTAGGTTTATATTTTAAAATTTCTGACATAATTTTTTGACTAAGTAAAATCATCAAAATTGAAAATTGAAGACATATAAAATGGCATTTAGTGAAAAATTTCCCTGCAATCTCTATCCCCAAGTCACCAACTTCCTCTGATCAAAACTAACCATTGTACCAGTTTCTCACCTAGATCCTTCCAGAAATGGATTATGTATGCACAAGCATAAATATATTCATAATAAATAGAATATTAGGCAACTTTAAAAATGAATAAAGCTGTTCTATATGTGCTGATACAAAAAATCTTTGTATATATTAATACGCCATATTTTTTGTTCCATTTTCTATTGGTGGGCTTGGCACTTGTTTCTGTTTTATAATAAATGCTATGCACATCCATCCATATGTTATATTTTATACATGTTTGAGAGGTTCTCTGCATTATAAAACTGAAGTAGAAGTACTATGTTAACAGGTAATCTTCAATGTTATTATTTACTGCTAAATTACTCTGCAAAGTGATTTGTATGAGCAATGAAGGAGAGGTCTGATTTTTCTACATCCTTGCCTTGTTATTGTCAGACTTCAAGATTTTGTCTTGTTTAGTGGATAAGAACTCATGTCTTTTTTTTTTTAAAGATTTTTATTTATTTATTTGAGAGAGCGAGCGAACATGAGTGGGGGGGAGGGGCAGAGGGAGAAGCAGTTTCCCTGCTGAGCAGGGAGCTCCACATGGGGCTCGATCCCAGGACCCTGAGATCATGACCTGAGCTGAAGGCAAACACTTAACTGACTGAGACACCCAGGCACCCCTGAGAAACATCTTTTTGTTGGTTTTAATTTTTAATTTTCTATTATTTGTGAAGTGGGGCATCTTTTCATGTTTAAGTTGGCCATTGGGATTTTCTCTTTGTCTGAATTGCCAATTCATATCATTTGCCCGTTTTTCTTGGGTTTGTCTTTTTGTTTTTGGTTTATATGCCTTTAAACTGTATTTTGGATTTTAATTATTTTTCTTTTATGCAGAGCAAATATTTTCTTTCCTGGGAATATGGTTTATGAGAGAATTGTTTCTTTTTTGTGGTGTTTTTGTTCAGAAGTTTTAAATCTTAATGTAGTCATTATCAGTGTTTTTCGTTATGATTTCACTTTTTATGTCATTGTTTGTGAAGTCTTCCCATTGTTAACATCAAAGGATATTTTCCTACATACATGTTCAGGTATAGTCTACCTGAAATTGATTTTTTTATAAGATATGAGATCGAAATCTAATTTTTTAATGTAGATGACCAATTCTCAAGTATAATTCATTGAATAACCTATTATTTCCATAAAGATTTATGACATCTTTATTGTATAATAAGTTTTCATATACATAAGGTCTTTGGGCTCTAATCTGTTCCATTGATCTAATTGCATATCTGTGTGTCAGTACCATGATATCTTAATTACTCTTTATATTTTTAATAAGTCATTGTAATGTTTTGTTTTATTCTATCAGCTAGCATGCCCCCTTAATACAATAGTAATGTTTATAACTCTCTTTGGAACCATTGACCGTCTTCAAAAAACTTGATGTGTAAAAAAGTATATTAACATTGCAGATTTTATAGAGGAAAACCAAATCATATAATTAAATTTACTCCTAAACTTAAAATTTTGTCTGCTGCTTCAGTTATAATGCAAAAGCTACCAGAACCTATGTCAGAGGTGCCACATACATGCTGGATACTTTTTACTAACTATATATATTTTTAAGCCAACTTTATTAAGGTATAATTTACAGTGAAACGAACCCATTTGTTCAATGAGTTTTGACAAATATATATACCCTACATAACCAACCCCACAATGAAGATATAGAACATTTTTATCTTCCCCCAAAGTGCCCTTATATCTCTTTGCAGTCAGTCATTCATCATTTGTGCTTCCACTAACCCCTAATGCTCCCTCCTGCTCCAGGCATCCACTGATCTGCTTTCTTTAACTGTAAATTAGTTTTGACTATTCTAGAATGTCATGTAAATGAAATATACATATTGGATATAATGAGTAATGCTGCTCTGGATGATTGTGTTCAAGTTTGTGTGTGGACATACACCCAATACACAGGAATGGAATTGATGGGTTTTATGAGGAGTTTGTTTAACTTATAAGAAACTGCCAAAATGTTTTTCAAAGTGGTTGTGCTATCTTATATTCCTACCAGTAGTATTTGCCAGTTCCAATAGCTTCATAGCCTACCAATTTTTAGCCATTTTAGTATCTAATTGTATTTTAAATTTGCATTTTCTTACTGATTAATGAGATTGAGCATCTGATGAACTTATGTTCCAGTTGTATTTTTCTTTTTTTTTTGTGAAGTGTCTGTTCAAATATTTTGCATATATTTGATATTTGGGTTGATTGCCTTGTTTGGGTTGTTTGATTTTGGGTTGTTTGGTTCATTGAATTGTGAGAGTATTGAAAATCAGTATACATGTGTGAGTTTATTTCTAAACTCTATTATGCTTTATTGATTTATATGTCTTTTTCCCCCATCTTTATTGAGATAAAATTGACATGTAACTAAGTTTAAGATATGATGTGTGATGATTTGATATACTTATATGTTGCAAAATGTTTACCACAATGAATTTAGTTAAAATATTCTTCATTTCACATAATTAACCAATTGTTGTTGTTACAGGGAGAACATTTAAGATTTATTTTCTTAGCAACTTTCAGGTATACAATACAGTGTTGTTAACTATATTCACCACACTACATAGGTACTCCTGTATGTCCATCTTTTTGTCAACATCACATTTTACAGACTGCTGTAGCTTTATGATAAGTCTTGAAATAAGATAGTGAAAGTTCACTAACTTTAGTCTTTTTCAAATTTGTCTCAGTTGTCTAGGTCTTTTGCATTTCCATATAAGTTTTAAATGAGCTTGTCAATTTCTACAAAAAAGTCTACTGGAATTTTGATTGAGTCTAAAGATTAATTTGAGAAGAATTAACATCTTAACAATATTGAGTCTTCTGATTCGTGAACATAGCATATCTTTCCATTTTTTTGTATTTTCTAGCATAGGGGTCCTGAACATCTTTTGTCAAATTTATAAGCATTTCATATTTTTTGATACTATTATAAATGGTATTTTTTGTAAATTTCAAATTCCACATGCTGACTGGTAGGATACATAAATAGTATTGGTTTTTGTATATCGATCTTGTTAAATTCACTTATTAGATCTGTTTTTTTTGTAGACTCTTCCGTCCCATTCATGTTCTATTATGGGAATAATTTTACTGTAGCTTGTACTATAAATACATAATGCATTGCTGTTATTTTTGCTTTCACATGTTATCTTTTAAAATAACTTAAGAAATAAAAGAATGTGTTTTATTTCACCTTTATTTACTCCATTTCCAGTGCTCTTAATTTCTTTGTATAAATCCATGTTTCTGTTTGATACTATCTTCCCTCTGCTGAATAACTTCTTTTAACCTCTGTTTTTTATTATTACCTCATAAAAAATACTTGAAAACTTTGACTTAAAACAATAGCTTCTTACTCTTTTTCATGGCTCTGTGGGTTGACTGAGCTCAGGTGGCCTTTTTCTAAGTTCAGTAATGTGGCTGCAGTCAGGTAGCATCTAGGATGGGAGTCATTTAAAGTCTTGACTGGATAGCCACATGGCTTACTTACATGGCTGACAGTTGATGCTGGCTATTGGCTTATGATTCAGCTGCTTCAGTGGAATGGAAGGAACACCTACAAATGGCCTTTCCAAGTGGCTTGGGCTTTTCACATCTGGGTTCCATGACTAATGTTCTAAATGATAAGAGGTGGAAGCTGCCAGATTCTTAAGGCCTGGAAATAAGCAAAAGTGTCATGTCTGCTGTATTAGATCTGTCTGAGCAGTGAGAAGAACTTGCTCAGATTCAAGGGGAAGAGATAAAAAATTTACCTGTTGATGGGAGGAATGTCAAGATTTTGTAGCCATCTTTTATTTATTTAAGAGTAATTTGAGGGGCGCCTGGGTGGCTCAGTTGGTTAAGCATCTGACTCTTGATTTTGGCTCAGATTGTGATCTCAGTATCCTGAGACTGAGCCCCCTGTTGGACTCTGCACTCAGCAGAGTTGGCTTGAGATTCTTTCCCTCTGTCGCTCTCCCTGTGCTCCCCCCCAACCCTGGCTCATGTTTGCTGTCTCTCTAAAATAAATAAAATCTTAAAAAAAACCCAGTAATTTGAATTTTCCTTCATCTGTATTACCATTTCCTGGTTTTTGCCCATTCTTTATTATAGGCTTTTTTTTTTCATTGTTTTGTAGGAGCTCTTTTATACTACAGAAATTACTCTCAATGAGTTAGTTTTTTTCCTGTTTAACTTTTGTTCTAGGAGTGGAGTTTGATATGCATTTACCTTTTCTCATTCTCCTTTGTTATCTCAGTGATGTACATTTGTTTAAGATGAGTGACAGGAGATGGGAGCATTTTTGCTATAAGTACGAAAAAGCTAAATAGAATATTGGGTATTGTACCATAAATTGCAAAGAGCCTTGACTTGAAAAAAAAAAAAAGACCTGGTGTTTATTTTGCTTTACTCAAGCCTATTCAATTTTTCCATTTCCTAAACTAGCCATATTACCCCATACTTCCAAAAGAAAGCTGTTCTTTTCTTCCATAAACATTCATTTTTCACTAGTCGAGCCAGTCTACTACTAATCCTCCAAGTATTGTTTAAGCATCATGTAAAGCCCTTCCTGACATTTTTTTTAAAAAGATTTTATTTATTTATTTGACAGAGAGACAGTGAGAGAGGGAACAAGCAGGGGGAGTGGGAGAGGGAGAAGCAGGCTTCCTGCTGAACAGGGAGCCCGATGTGGGGCTCCATCCTAGGGCCCTGGGATCCTGACCTGAGCCGAAGGCAGACGCTTAACGACTGAGCCACTCAGGCACCCCTTTCCTGACATTTTTAAGCCAAGTTTGAGACTCCTACTCATTCCTTCCATCACACTTCCTGCATATCTTTATTATAGAATTCTCAAATTTTATTGATTTGATTATGTAAGATTGTAAAATTTGTAAGATGTATGATTTTATTGTAAGAATATAATTGAAAAAATTATGAAATTTTAGATGTACTCTTACATGCTATGAAATATTCAAAATAATCAGTATTTTTAGTTGCTAATATATGCAGAAATGGCAAAGTACATTTTTTTTCCAGATTTCTTGAGGTGTGATTCAAAAATTGAATATATTTAGGTTATACAACATAATTTTTTGTAAAAGTATACAACCTGATGATTTAATGCATGTATACATTGTGATGTGATCCTAACAATCAAGTTAATTAACACGTTCAGCACCTCACAGTTACCAAACTTGTATGTGTGTATGTAGGGGGGAACACTTAAGATTTACCCTCGTAGCAAATTTCAAGTGTATAGTACAATATTATTAATTATAACCACCATGCTGTATGTTAGATCTCTAGAACCTAATTATCTTGTAATTGAAAATTTGTATTTTTTGACCAGCTTCTCCCCATTCCCCCTATTCTCAGCCCCTGGCAATCACCATTCTACTTTCTAATTTTATGAGTTTGAATTTTTAACATTTGACATGTAAGTGAGATCATACAATATTTGTCTTTGTGTCTGGCTTATTTCACTTAGTATAATGTCTTCCAGGTTCATCCTTGTTGTAACATATGGCAGGATTTTCTTCTCTTTTTATGGTTGAATAATAGTCTATTTAAATATTTTTCATCTATCTAATCTACCACATTTTCCTTATCCCATTCATCTGTCGATGGATATGTAGGTTATGTCCTTATTTTGGCTATTGTGAAAAATGCTGCAGTGGATGAACATGGGATTGCACAGTCTTCAAGATTGGGCTTTTGTTTCCTTTGGATGTATACCCAGAAGTGGGATTGCTGGATCTTTCAGTAGTTCTACTTTTAATTTTTTGAGGAATTTCCATACTGTTTTCCAAAATGGCTGAACCAATTTACATTCCCACCAACATTGTACAAGAATTCCTTTCCTCTCCCATTCTTGCCAACCCTCACCTTTTTTTGATAATAGCCTTCCTAACAGATGTGAGGTGGTATCTCCTTGTAGTTTTGATTTGCATTACCTTGATGATTCAGCAATATCCAGCATCTTTTCATGTACCTCTTGGCCATTTGTATGTTTTCTCTGGAAAAATGTTTATTCAGGTCCTCTGCCTATTTTTAAATCAGATTATTATTATTATTTTGCTGTTGTGTTATATGAGATCTTTATATATTTCGGATATTCACCCCTTAATGGAAATATGGTTGGCAAATATTTTTTCCTATTTAGTAGGTTGCTGTTTCATTTTGTTGGTTGCTTTTGCTGTACAGAAACTTTTGGTTTGATGTAGTCCCACTTATTTTTGCTTTTGTTGCTTATGCTTTTGATGTCATTCAAAAAAATCGTTGCCAAGACGAGTGTCAAGGAGCTTTTTCCATATGCTTTCTTCTATGGTTTTTATGGTCTTATATTAGGTTTTGATCCATTTTCAATTCATTTTTGTGTATAGTATAACATAAGGATAAAATTTCTTTTGCACATGGATATACAATTTCCTCAACACTTTTTTTTTTTAAAGATTTTATTTGTTTATTTGAGAGAGAGAACGCAAGCGAGAGAGCACAACCAGGGGGAGCAGCAGAGGGAGAAGGAGAAGCAGACTCCTCACTGAGCAGGGAGCCTGATGTGGGCCTCGATCTCAGGACCCTGAGATCATGACCTGAGCTGAAAGGCAGCCACTTAACTGACTGAGCCACCCAGATGCCCCTCAACACTGTATGTTGAAGAGACTATCCCTTCTCCATTGTGTATTCTTGGTTCCCTCATCAAAAATTAGTTGAGTATAGGGGTGTGTTTATTTCTGGGTTGTCTATTTTATTCCACAGATTTATGTGTCTTTCTTTTTTTTTTTTAAAGATTTTATTTTTAACTAATCTCTATACCCAACATGGGGCTCAAACTCACAACCCTGAGATCAGGCCAGGTGTCCCATTATGTGTCTTTTTATGACAGTATTACAGTGTCTTGATTATTATAGCTTTGTAACATAGTTTTAAATCAGGAAGTGTGATGCCTCCAGCTTTGTTCTTACTCAAGATTACTTTGGCTACTTTCGTTTTTCAATGTAAATTTTAGGACTGCTTTACCTATAGAAAATGCTACTGGAATTTTGAAAGGGATTGCATTGAATCTGTAGATCACTTTAGATAGTAAGGACATTTTAACAGTATTCTTTCAATCTGTGAACATAGGATATCATTCCATTTATTTATGTTATCTTTAGTTTCTTTAGTGTCTTATAGTTTTCCATGTACAAATATTACACCACCTTCGTTAAATTTATTCCTAAGTATTTTCTTCGTTTAAATACTATTTTAAAAAGAAATTGTTTCTTAATTTTTTTTTCAGATTACAGTTTACTTTTGAATTTGATTTTAGGTCTTGCATTTTAGTGTTAGTGAAGTGTGCCTCTGCTGAAATTGTCAAATTTAAAAAATTAATTTTTAAAAAGGGCCATATGGTAGTTCATGTTGTTTATTAAATCTAACAGGAAGAGAAACTTTGGAGAATGAAAATCTTTGACATTTTTATATTTTTCTACCTCTACTTAAAACTAAAGATTTTGCTAAAATTTGATTTTTTTCTGATAACTTACTTTGATGACTCAGTATTGTAGGGTTATCTCATTACTCTTCATTGTGTCATAGGGCTAGATAACTAATCTTTCTGACTTCTTGCAGAGTTACCTTGGTAGAATTTGCAGGTGTTTAAGGAATGGGCTACAACTTGCTACTATAGTGATTGATAGAGTGGAGATGTTCATTTTTCAGGATAGATGTCTTCAGAGAAACCTACCTTAATGAATTACGATGGTTCAGAGTACGGCCTACTGTTTGCAAACTATAATAGCTCCTTGACACTGGTCTTGGAAATGATTTTTTTGAATATTACCTCAAAAGCATAAGCAACAAAAGCAAAAATAAGTGGGACTACATCAAACTAAAAAGCTTCTGTACAGCAAAAGCAACCAACAAAATGAAATGGGTCAATGTAAGAGATTATCTTAAGGATTGATTGTATTGACCAAATTTGTGAAACTGATTATAAAATCAGAAAACCCATTTTTTTTTTATCATGAGAAATCTTACTGTCTTGTGCTGCATATTTTCTTATTGGTTCTACTAGTTTATTATATGCACTAGGGAGATATATGGGAAGCTAAATTGTAATCAGGGTACTTCTTGGTGAGCATGGAATCAGAAGAGGAGTTAGTTAAAAAATCATGACAAAATAGTTAAAGATATATGTGAATGTATTTTGAAAGTTTTTTTTTGCTTATTTTTAATAAGCATTCTTACAAGATTGCTTATCATTTAGGCCAGAGATATGTCTTGACTAATACTTTGTTTGGGAAAATAGTTTTGGATGGTAAAACAAAAAGGGTTATATAAAATTTTTAAGCCATAGTTAAAAAGTATATTTTCTTTTTTTTTTTAATAGTGTAAGACAAATGGAATGCAAGCCTTTTCTCAAGGTGATAATGAACAACAGCAACATCAGTCTCCAGTTAAAAAAGGTAAATTTTTTACCATAATTCCTAAATTTCATAAGGAAGTCTTAGCATTCCTGTTAATAGTTGCCTAGGTGCAAACCTTATCTACATAAGAAATTTTATTATATTCTTTCGGTTGATTTCAGTCTATATTAGAAATGCTATATAGGTTTGACTGCTTTATAAGAAAGACCATAATAACAAGGCTTAAACAAGATAGAAGCTTATTTCTGTATTTTCTATAATAGCTCATAATTGAGCTGGTGTATTCATTCTGCTCTGGTGAAGTGTTATTGGACTCAATCTCATTGCTTTGCCAACTTTAATGTATGGCTCTGTCTCATTGCCCAAGATGAATGCTTTTCCTCCAGCCGCCATATTCCCTGTCTAGCCATCAGGAAGGAGGTAAGGGGAGGAGAGGTAGTTCTCCTTAAAAGTATGACCCATAAGTAGCATCTATCAGTTTCACTGAATATCTCATTGGGCAGAACTTAGTCATACTATACAAAGCAGACTGGAAATTGTAATCTTTAGCTGTCTAGACTGCTAATTCTGTTACTGAAGCAGAAGGGAAGAACTGCTCTTGGGGATAACAAGTAGTCTTTCCCACTAGCTACTTTTTAATAAAAGAAAAATTATTTATTAATTTAGTTTCCAAATTTTTGTCAGTCTGTATAATTTAAAAGATATGAAAATACTCTATTAGCTTTTTCTTCTAGTATTTAACTCTGTATTTCTAAATAAAATGTTTAAATTGTTTCTAATTTTTTTATTTTTTGATATTGGCAGCCTCTTTTGGAAAATGAGAACATCTTCCACATCAGTTCCCTCACTTCTTTACCTGTCTATCTTCCCTCACTACCATATAGTTATTTCACAAGTTTCAGTTTTAACTGAATTACCACTCTTTATGTAAATACAGGTGCTTAGCCAAGAGATGCATATCTATTTCATACAATCCATCATTTTTCTTGGAGCTAATGTTTGCATTGTTTTTCTGTACAACTGCTGTTAACTTTTCCCCTTAAATGCTCCAAAAACTCTGTCACACTTACCTATAATATTTTTCTTATGCACAAATATATCAGTTGGTATTTTTTTTCCACCTGAGGAGACTTCTCTTTCAGAATCCACCATTATCCTGTTCTCGTATGGGCTGTTTACTCTTCAGTACTGTTGTCCTGGAATGTACTTTGACTATTATCTTGGGATACCCCATTGTAATTCTTTGGTTTCTTTCTTCTTTTAATTTTTATTTCATTTCATTTCATTTCATTTATGAGAGAGAGCACGTGTGACCTGGTGGAGGAGCAGAGGGGGCGGGAGAAAGAATCTCAAGCAGACTCTATGTTGAGTGCAGAGCCCAATGTGGGGCTCAGTCTCACGACACTGAGACCATGACCTGAGTTGAAATCAAGAGTCAGCGGCTTAACCAACTGAGCCACCCAGGCATCTCTTCTTTCTCCTTTTTAAATTGAAGTACAATTCACCATTTAAACCACTTTAAAATGTATAATTTGGTAGCTTTTAGTACAATATTGTACAAACACCACCACTATCTAGTTTCAGAACATTTTTATAATCCCAAAAGGAACCTCATACCCCTTAAATGGTCATTTTCCATTCTCCCCTTTGCCCAGCCACTGACAAACCCTAATTTACTTTTTGTCTTAATGGATATACTTATTCTGAACATCTCCTCTAATGGAATTATATTATGTGTGACCTTTTGTGTCTGGCTTCTTTCACTTACCGTAAGATTTTCAAGGTTCATCCATGTGTAGCATGTATCAGTACTTCATTCTTCATTCCTTTTTATGGCTAAATGATATTTTCTTGTATCGATATGTCACATTTTGTTTAACTTTCAGTTGATGGACATTTGGGTTGTAAACTTTTTGGCTATTATGAATAATGTTGCTATGAATATTTGTCGTGTTTGAACACCTGTTTTCATTTCTCTTGGATATACACCTGGGATTGGACTTGCCAGGTCACGTGGTAATTCTATGTTTAATTTTTTGAGGAATTGCCAAACTGTTTTCCACAGTGGCTATACCATTTTACATTCCCAGTAGCAATATGTAAGGGTTCCAATTTCTTGATGTCTTTGTTAGGGTCTTTTTAAAATTTTTTTATTTTTTAAATTTTTAAAAAAGATTTTATTTATGTATTTGAGAGAGAGAGAAGCAAGAGAAGAGAGCACAAGCATGAGAGCACAAGCATGGGGAGGGGTGGAGGGAGAAAGAGAAGCAGACTCCCTGCCGAGCAGGGAGCCCGATGTGGGGCTCGATCCCAAGACCCTGGGATCATGACCTGAGCCGAAGGCAGACGCTTAACTGACGGAGCCACCCAGTCGCGCCCCTAGGATCTTTTTTTATTATAGTCATTTCAGTGGGTGTGAAGTGGTATCTTGTTGTGATTTTGATTTACATTTCTCTGATGACTAATGATTTTGAGTGTCTTTTCATGTGCTTATTGGCCATTTGTATTTTTTCTTTGGAGAAAGGTCTATCCAAGTCCCTTGACCATATTTTAATTGGGTTATTTTATTTTTGTGGTTGAGTTACAAGTTTTGGATACTACACTTTCATTTATTTTCTCTCTGCCTCTCCCTCCCCCCGCCTGCATGCTCAGTTCCTTTCTTCCCCTCCATACACACACACACACACACACACGTACGTGTGTGTATATAAGGTATTTGAGATATATATATTAGACCTTTATCAGATATATGATATTAGGCTCTTATCAGATATATACTTATCAGATATATAATTTACACATATTTTCTCCTAGAGTTTCTTTTCATTCTCTTGATAGTGTACGTATCTGTACAAATTAAAAAAAATTGATGAAGTCTAGTTTCTTTTTTGTTGCTCATGGTTTTGATGTCATGTTTAAGAAATCATTGCCAAATCTCAAGTCATGGAGATTTACCCCTATAAGTTTTATAGTTTTAGCTCTTACATTTAGGTCTTTTTTTCCATTTTGAATTAGTTTTTATATATAGTGTTAAGTATAAGCCCAAATTCAGTTTTGTTTTGTTTTTTTTTGCCTTGGATATCCAGTTGTCTCATCACCATTTGTTAAAGAGACTATTTTTTTCTCCATTGGATGATCTTGGCACCTTTGTTGAAAATCATTTGAGCACAGGAGTATGTTTTTATTCCTCAACTTTCAGTTTTGTTTCCTTGATCTGTATGTCTGTCCTATACCAGTACCACACTGTTTTGATTACTGTAGCTTTATATAGTAAGTTTTGAAATTGGGAAGTGTGAGTCTTCAACTTTGTTCTTTTTCAAGATTGTTTTGGCTATTTGGGATTTCTTGCAATTCCATGTGATTTTTAGGATCAGCTTTCCTATTTCTGCAAAAAAGGCTCCTTTTCTTTCAAAAGGAATTTTGATAGGGCTAATAATAGTGAACTTGTAGATCGCTTTGGGGGATGTTAACAATATTAAATTTTTCAGTCCATGAACATGGAGTGTATTTCCATTTATTTCAATCTTTATTTTATTAGTGTCTTGGTTTTCAGTGTATAAGTCTTGTACCTCTTCAGTTAAATTTACTCCTAATTATTCTTTGTCATGCTAATGGAACTGTTTTCTTAATTTCCTTTTTGGACTGTTTATTGGTAGTGTAGGAAATACAACTGATTTTGTGTGGGGACATTGAGCTTACAGAAATAAAAAGGATTATAAGAATACCCAGTAGTGCAATTGCTGGGTCGTATGGTAGCTCTGTTTTCAACTTTTCTCCTGCTGGGTTTAGGCTTTATTTGCTGTTCGTTCTCCAGCTCCTTTAGGTGTAGGGTTAGGTTGTGTATTTGAGACCTTTCTTGTTTCTTGAGAAAGGTTTGTATTGCTATATACTTTCCTCTTAGGACTGCCTTTGCTGCATCCCAAAGATTTTGAACAGTTGTGATTTCATTTTCATTTGTTTCCATGAGTTTTTTTTTTTTAATTCTTTAATTTCCTGCTTGACCCATTCATTCTTTAGTAGGATGCTCTTTAGCCTCCATGTATTTGAGTTCTTTTCGACTTACTCTTGTGATTGAGTTCTAGTTTCAAAGCACTGTGGTCTGAAAATATGCAGGGAATGATCCCAGTCAAAAACTAATGCTGTAGGGTGCCTGGGTGGCTCAGTCGTTAAGCGTCTGCCCTCGGCTCAGGTCATGATCCCAGAGTCCTGGGATCAAGTCCCACATCGGGCTCCCTGCTCAGCGGGAAGCCTGCTTCTCCCTCTCCCACTCCCCCTGCTTGTGTTCCCTCTCTCGTTGTGTCTCTCTCTGTCAAATAAATAAATATTTAAAAAAAAAAAACTAATGATGTAATGTATGGTGATTAACATAACATAATAAAATTAAAAAAAAGGATTATAAGAAAATACATTTAAGTATATGCCAACAAATTAGATAACCTAGGTTCAATAGAAAAATTACTAAAAACATGGAAATTACCAAAACTTCCTTAAGATGAAATAGAATATCTAAATAAATATATAGCAAGTATGGAGATTGAATTTGTAATAAAAGGTCTCCTAACAAAGAAGAGTCCAGGACTTGATGGCTCCACTGGTGAATTCTACCAAACATTTAAAGAAGAATTAACACGACTTTCTCAAACTCTTCCAAAATATTGAAGAGGAATACTTCTCAACTATCCTGTTAGGCCAATATTACTCTGATACCAAAGCCAGACAAAGACATCATATGAAAAGAAAACTATAGCTCAGTAATCCTTAGAATATTAGGTACAAAAATACCAGTAAATCAAACCTAGCAGCAGGAAAAAACTTCTTTTTCATTCATTCACTTTTAACTTATTTTTGTGATTGGATCTAAAGTGAGTATCTTGAGACAGCATATAATTGGATCATATTTTTAATCCGTTCCTCCAATCTCTGCCCTTTAATTGGAGTGCTTATCACTGACATTTAATTGAAATTATTGAATAAGAAAGGATTAATTTCACCCATTTTGCTGTTTGTCTTCTATAAGTCTTATATCTTTTTTGTTTTTC